GATATTGGACGCAGTGCATGTATATACTCCTGGGCTCAAAGTTGCAGGTCTCAAAACTGGCTGATCAGCCTTCTCCTGAAGGTTTGAGGAGGTCCAGACATACACAGGAGGTGGGTTACCCTCCGCAGTACAATCCAGCACCGTTTCACTATCCTCACTGATGTCCAGTATCTCTTCCTCTGGACTGCGGAAGACCGGCGGGTCTGATGGGAAAAAAAATTAACAAAGATTTAACATTAATAGCTATAAAATGTCTTCACTATTGGGTATTGTTAACTGTATTCACCTACATTGAACAGCAATGTTGAGAACTTCAGACTGAACTGTTGGAGGAGGTTGAGGTCCTTCAGCTCCCAGTTCCAGCTGTGCTTCACACCTGTATTGAGCTCCATCATCAGCTCTGTTTGGGACAATCAGCAAGGTGGAGGACACCTGGACCGGTGTTGCAGGGGATAACTCTGAGAACGAGTGGTTGTAAACCTCAGTTTTTCCTCTGTACCATCGTAAAACAAGGTACTGGACAGGTGCGACGTTCTGCACCTCACACTGTAGCTGGTACTCTCTTCCTTCCACCACTGGACTGCTGTGATTCACTAAACTTATGGACACACTGTCTGGTTTCTCTGCGTGAAGACAATTGTGAATTTAAACAAAGGCATTTAATGGAGATATTCATAACAAAACATATTAGTTTAGACCAGTTTGGACCAGCTTAAATACCAAAGTGGTTTTGTTTTAGATGGTTAGTGCTGGTCTGTTTCTGGCACAAGCTGGTTATTGTTGCAGGTCGACCTGTTTTACCAGTGTAACCATGTTAAAAGCCACTTGGTAACCAAAAGTATAGTTTGCACCAAAATGACAACTGTGTCATTGTTTACTCACCCTCATTATTCCTTGATGATCCTTTTCTTCACCAAATCTATTGAAATTTAAATTCTGCTTATGTTCATTTAAAAATGCTGCCACACAGACTCATTGTGGCACATTACATTGCTTGTTGCATTTTTC